TTTTCATCATCCGTATTATGATGATTATGATGATTATTACCAGGAAAAAATGAATGAATGAATGGGGGGAAAGACGAAGAAGAGGGGAACAAAAAAAAAAACAATATTCACTTTTCAATTATCACATCATGTGTATGTTGTTACATATGTGATTACAATGATAATGATGATGCTTAAATTATTGTTTCACCGGAAATTTACAAATAACCATGAAACAGTAATAAATGAATGGATGGATAATAATGGATTCATTTGTGGATGGATTCGTGGTGTGGTGTGGTGTGGTCTGGTTCCATTATCATTATCATGGAGGATTTTTATTCTTTTTCGCAGAAGAAGAAGAAGAACATCCAACAACCAAAATGGATAATAATTGAGAAAAGAGAAAAGTTTTCAAATTAATTCAATTAGTTCATTATGATGATGATCTACTAGTATTAAAATGAAAATGGAACGGGTTATAACAAAAATAGATGCTTTTTTAATAAAATACTTTGAATAAAATCAAAGTGTTTTTAGCTTTTTTTATTGCTGTTAAAAATGATAACCAAGCGGTAATCATCTCTAAAATACCCTTTTTCTTTTTTTGGTTAATTTTTCACACCAGTGAAAACTTTTTTTCCATTATCATTTTGTCATTATTATTCATGGATTTAGATGGCTAGACAGAGATTATTCATAGGTTCCGTTTTGTTTTGTTGCAAGAAAGGTGGAAATAGAGGAAAAAAAGTTGAATTTTTTTTCTTCAAAAGATTTCAATGAAATTGAAATTAACCAAAATTCTCAACAAATTATCATGATAATAAACTATCGATGTTTGAAACGATACAATCGATATTTTTTTTTGTACTTAGTAAAGAATAATTCATGATAATGAGATTCAAAGAAAAACAGTAATGAGAAATAAATTATTTCGGAAGAATCTTACACTTACACAAAAAAAAAACATTACCCAAAAAAACAAAACAAAGCAAAATCCAGATATCACTTTTAACATCATTACAACAACAATATTAATGGCCAAAAAAAAAAACGAAAGAATCCAGAACCAGAATGTTGTTGGCATCAAACAAACGAACGAACGAAAGAGAATATTATGCCAAAACAACGACCAAAGGAATTTTATTTCGAAAAAAATGAAACACCAGAATTCATATTATTCATATTTTTGTTTACCATCCAACACACTCTATATTTATAGTGTGATAATAATCATTGCCCGGGTAATGATTCGGGTATATATGTTTCTCACTCTATCTCTTTACAGAAAAATCATAACAGAATCGGATTCAAATTTCACTCGTAATCGTCAACGGAATAATTAAAAATCATTCTCAATTCTGTAAATTAATGTTTTTTTGTTGTTGTTGTTTGTTTGTTGTCGTCATCAGTTGATAATTATATTTCATTTCATTTTATATTTTGTATCAAAAATTGAAATTTATTTCGTTTTTCTCTCATCTCTTTCACGCCGATGTGGAGCACAAAAAAATTTTGAAATTTTTTACATTTTTTTTTGGGTCTGTTTTGTTGTCTGATTCTGTTACTGGAATAATTTTTGTTCACGGTTTTAAATTGAATTTTATCAAACTCAAGGTGATTTGATTGGGAAAAAAAATGGAAAAGAAAGAAATCTTTTAATCAAATTTTTTTTTCTTTTTTTGAAAATTCAATTAAAAAAAAGAAAGTTTCTAGTAAATTTTTTTTCCCAAAAAAACTTTCCTTCATTCATTCATTCATTCATTCATGCAAAATAAAACCAAACCAAAAAACAACATTTTGCTTTTTTCAATGTGGAAAAGAAAAACCAGAAACAAAACAAAACAAATTCTGTATTGAAATTCATAGCATATCACACACCAACGTCATCATTATTATTTCATTTTCATTTTTATAAACAAAAAAAAAAACGATATGATCAAAATCTCAAAGGAAAATTTTCAATGATGATGATGATGATCATCATTCAACCATCTCTTTAATCACAATGATGATGATGAAAATTGAATGATCCTTAAAAGATAACAAAAACAACAACAACAAAAACCCCAGAATTTGATGCATTGTGTTCAGGGAAGTTTCCGAGAAAATTCTTCTATCAAACACTAAACATTCTGAAACATTCTGAATGGACGTAGTAATTTTCAAGCAGGACAATAAATAAGAAAATTTTCATCAATGTGTGTGTTTTTCGGGAAAATTCTTTGGAAATTTCTTTTTCGCTTTTTTTCCCTCCCCTATTATTTACAGTTATTTCACAATGTGATCAACCAAGAAGAAGAATAAGAAAAAAACAAAAAAACAAAAAAAAACTTGACTAGAATATCTTGATGATGATAATCATCAGCATCTTAACAGTAACAAATGAAAAGTAAAACGTAAAGCAAGTTTGTTTTTTTGGATGGCCCATAATTTTCTTTATTATTATTGAAAATTTTGACGCTTAAAATGATGATGATGAGAAAATATGGTACAAAATGATAAGAATAAAAGACTTGAAGAAGAAGAAGAATAATGTACAGAATTTTTTTGCTGGAGCGAAGAATTTAATATTGAAAAAATAAAAATGTAATAAAATATGACTAAAGCATCTGTTGTAAACTGTTTTTTTTAAAAAAAAAAACATTCATTTTAGATTGGAAATGAATTTGTTATTATTTTCGGTTTTGAATGTTTTAAAATTGTTGATTTACATTAATTGTAACCAAGAATGACAAAAGCAAAGCAAAAAAAAATCAATTTAAAATTTGATAATTAATAATAAAACCAGAGCAAAAAGCAAAAGCAAAAAAGCAAAATTTCATTTTTGAAAAACACAATCACCATCGCAAATGGAACAAGATTCTATCAACCAACTACACAGTTGTAACAACGATCAAGAATTTTCTTTTCTTTTCTTTTTTTTGATTGTCATTTCATTATATATTGATTCGAATTGATTATCAGCAAAAAGAATAATAAAAAAAAACTTGATCGATAATATTATATGGAATCAAACGCACACACAAACTAGCCAACACATTGAATGTAAGATTGGTTGAAAAGAATGGGAAAAAAAAGAAGTAGGAGAGAAAATCAATCATTAATCATTTCACTTATATTTACCAGTTATTTTCATTATTTTCATCATTATTATCATCACACCATCATAATGATGATGATGATGATTATAATAGTAAACGTGATCAGGCAGAGAATATTCTGTATATAAGAATGTTTAGCATGTGTGTGTGGTATTTGGATGTTAAAATACAGACGCCGTTGCTGTTGTTGCTGTTTGTTTGTTTTTATTCGATGTTTTAGTCGATTAAATGTTAATAATAATAATAATGATTATCATCATCATCAAACAACAACAACAACATCATAATCATGATCAAAGAAAAACAACAGAATATGTAGAAAGTCGAAGCGAACAACACATAAACAACAACAAGAATTTGAAATAAACACATCCCGCAGATACACATACAGAGAGAACCAGGAAAACAAATACCACAAAACTATATTAATATTTTACTTTATCATCATCATCATCATCATCATTAGATGTTCATAAAGCTAAATTAATTAATCAATTTTGTTTTGTTTTGTTTTTCATCACAGAGAAAAAAAATTCTTCATATCAATTTTGTTGTTGTTTTGTGGATGCTTTGTGGATGTTGTGAATATTTTGTTGTGGATGGGGTATGGATTTGGCAATCCAAAGACGACAATTATGAAAAAAATGAAAATAATATTTTCACTTTTTGACCAAAATGAATGATGCTATGGTGATGAAAAATACTTTATAATAAAATGGATGGATAAATTACATTAACTTTGATTGAAAATTCTCTTTTTTCAGTTGGTTATATTAATTTCAAAACACACAAAAAAGCAATAAAGAATTTCGGAAATTCTTGTTCGGTTGTTGCTGTTTTTTTTGCCCATCCATAAATATTCTACACTTCCTTTCTATATTCACAAATGATGTGACATTGATGATGATTATGGAAATGGAAAACTGGGGAAAAATGAATTTTCCGTTTGAAAACAAAAAATTTTTCAGATACAGATTAATTAACGAACAAATTAAATAAAAATCTAATTAGCCGATTTGACAATGATTCGATCATCATTATCGTCGAATATGAATTTTTGTTGTTAACATGGTGAAACAATCACATACACAACACACACATATTGGCCCGGCAAAACATTTAATGATGTTCATCTAATGATGATGATGATGATGTTGGTTTTTTGTTTGCAGCATCTTCTTTTTTTAGGGTGATAATAATGATTATCATCGATGATGATGATCGAAAAACAACAAAAAAAGAAAAAGAAATAACAACCAACCAACCAACTAACTAAACAAACGATGATTCCAAATCATTTTGTTTCAAAAACAGAGAAATGGAATTTTTTTGGAAATGATGATTCGACCAAGTAGCACATTGAAAATGAAATGAAACTATGATTCTTGGTCTTGGTCTGGTCTGGTCGGTTATGTGACTGTTAAGTTTGTTTTTTGATAACGACTAAATATAACGAACGATGATGCCGGAATGGAATGCGTCGTCTTACTCGAATACGAACGAACGAACGAAAAATATATTCCGAGTGCATGAGCATTTCGCTTTGAATTTTCTCGCAAATTTATATGAAATTTGATACAAATAGCGACGACTATTGACCGAAACGATGACTTTTTTTTCTTCCGAAAGAAAAAATTCCATCATTGTCGTGGGAGGTTCACCACCACCACCATCATCGATTCTGTCGTTGATGGTGGCCTTCGTTTTGTTTAAATCAAGTAATGATTGGAATTAATGATCGACCAACCAGATTGATATCAATCAAAATATGTAGGAAAAAAACTAAAAATATCATTCTGGATTTTTTTTGACAAACAGGAAGAATGTTCAAGAATTTATTGTGTGAAACAAAAAAAAAATTATTCTTGAAAAACTTGCATCATATAAACTGGATGTTTATATGATGTTTTCATTCATGAATACAGGGTAAAAAACGACTTTCAACAAATCGAAACATTGTTTTTATTTTCATTGTTTTTGTTTTGAAGAATTTTTTATTTACAAATTCACCCAAAAAAAAGTATTCTTCACATCGGCTATATATATTTTTGTCGAATCAAATCCAAATGTCTTCAGTATTTAGTATAAAAAATCTAGTCCGTACATTATCATTATCAGTACCATTAACATTAATATTTTTTGATAATATTGCCTATATTGCACGTGTTGATGGTGTTTCTATGCAACCAACATTAAATCCCTGTGATTATGATGAAAATAATTTCAATGATAATGATAATACTGATGATGATGAGATTGATTTAAATGGCAACAGCAACAGAATTACTCAGAAATTAAAAACAGCATTCAACGACAATGATCGACGATCGATAAATATTAAAAATTTATTATTCAATCGTTTCAATTCATCCGATTTAATATGGTTATCACATTGGGCAACACGTAATTATCAAATTGAACGTGGTTATATTGTTAGTTTAATATCACCGAATAATCCAAATCAAATTATTATAAAACGTGTAATTGGTGTTGAAGGTGATACTGTTGTTACAAGAAGAAATTTTAAATTCGAAACAATACGTATACCGAAAGGACATTGTTGGGTTGAAGGTGATAATCATACGAAATCAATGGATTCAAATATATTTGGTCCAGTTTCGGTTGGTTTAATAACAGCACAAGCAAAATATATAATATGGCCACCAAAACGTTGGCAATCATTAACAAAACAAATGCCTAATGATCGTATATATGTAGTTGTTAAAGTTAGTAGTAAATCTTTTAAATTTCCAAGTATAATATTACCAGATCCTTGTATAATTGAATTGAATGTTGATCCATTATCATCAAGCATTGTACAGCATCATCATTCGCCATCCAGCACATCATCATCGTCTAAATTGGGTTTGATAACAACAATTTTGGATGAAGATTCATTCTAGAATTAGGACTAAAAAAATTATTATTGTTATTGAAATAATGAATTCTGTGAAATTTTCTTATCCTGTATTTTTTTTTGTTGAATCCAAATTTTAATCCTTGTATCATATTCTTGAAGTAAAAAAAATAAATCTCGAATTTTTTTATCAAACCCAAAAAACTAGAGCTGCCATCTAGTGGTTTTGAAATATGTTTATAAATGAATTTTTTCATTTTTCTTTCAAAAAAATTATGAAATAATTTCTTCTTCTTTTTTTCAATTCTGAAACATTGATAGTTTCTATTTTAAAGGATAAATCAACAAAACCAAAAACAAGAGAAAAAAGATTAAAATATCAGGAAGTTTGATCAATAACTGGTTTTTAATTCTATTTTTAATCTTTGCAATTAATTAAATCCTGATAAGTCATATTTAAGATGTCAGATGTCAGATGAAATGACCATCATCCTCCGTTATCCATCCATCAAAACATTGAAAAAAAAAAACATTGACATTCAATAACTTTTCTCTTCTTTTTTTTAAATCTATTTTTTGAATATATCAAACGAAACAAAAAACCTTCAAACCAAATTTAGATTTTTTGGTATTTTTTTCTTCATAACATCAATATCCATCATCATCATCATCATTTGAAATGATTTCTAGGTTTTTTCTCTCGGAGTGCCTCGTTTTGTTTTGTTTTTTCCTTTTTTTCAAAATAATCAAGCCACAGTAAAAGGAAAGAGTTCGTTACACTTTTACACACATATCTTTTAGCTGATATTAGTGGATTTGTTCAGTTTCTTTACCAGTGCTTTATGCATTGAAAAAGGACAAAAAAAAAAGATAAAATCTTTTTTTTTTTCTTCTCATTCTCAATCATCATTTTCATTATCAGCATAGATTTTTTTTTCATAACGATAAGTTACTGAGAAAGAAAGAAAGAAAAATTCCATTATGGTGGTATAAAATTTATGATTCAAGAAGATATTACCAAAAGAAGAAGAAGACAGACAGTGAAAACAGTGAAAAAGTGAAAAAAATCCAGGTATAAAAAGGTCATTCATCTGACAAGTGTTTTTTTCCTTTTTTTCAGTGAAAATGAAAACAAAAAAAAAAAAAAAAAAAATTCCTAGTTAAAAAAAAAAAATTAATTTTTAATTTTTAATGGAAATTATTTCGACTAAAACCATTCATTCATT